ATCCTTCACCTGCTCATAAGTTGCTGTTGAAAATGCATATTGGCCAGTTTGGTTATCTATTGTTGTAAATAGACCTTATAATCTCTACGCATCTACCCACATGCTCCATTCAAACTTCCATTGGTAAGTTAGGCGGACTTACTCTAAGGGCATTCAGACTCACGGTGACGCGCGCGGATTGCGCATGCCGCGTTACTACGGCTTACCATGCACAACGCTCCATGCTTTAGACAGAAACCGCCGTCGACGGGTATCGATCGGCGTTAGTCGCTGGTGTTTTGAGAGAGTATGGGATAATAGAGGGTACGAGATGCCTTAATATACGGTCCGATATGCATCGATGCTTGCCACTTAATCAAAGCACCTCACTTTATTCTTGTGCTCTTTAGTTCAAAAAAATCCCCGTTGTCTTTCTTTTGTAGACAGCTTCGGAACGAGGCGCGAAGACCCTAACCCTCAATTGAACCATTTCCAGTTCGTTTGAGACGCCAAACATGCTTCTAGAACTCATCCTTCCGCAAAACTCTGCAAAAAGTAGTTCGTTCGACGCCGAATGTTATCCTTCTCTGCATTGTACGCGACTCCCACACGTAGATGTTGGAAATGTGTAACTTTAGTCTAAGGCGATCCCCATACAGACGTGCCTCTTATAATTTGAAAGTTCGAGCTTATGTTTATCGTCCGTTTGTTGATCAAACGTCGTGGTTATTTGGACAGACTTCGTACTGTGACCGCCCTGTCCCCCTTTTGAGCTTTCAGCGGCCGCCTTACCTTCAGGTGTAGCTTCACTCTTATTCTCCAACAAGAATTTGAATAATTCTTTCATCTTCCATATTTGTATAACATTCGTGAAGTATTGTTGGTGAGCCCTAGCGCTTACGACCCTTGGATCAAATACCCCACCCACCCCCCCCCCCTCCCGGGTTGTGATTCCACAACGATGGCTTACCTGATTGCATAAACTTCGCAAGGATTTACAGTTCTTCACAGGGCATCCGCAATGAATCGAGAGACTAACCAGAAGTCCCCCCCCCCCTCCTCAAAAAGGCCAACTGCATTACGAAGAGAGCTTAACAATCTGTCTTTGACTAATCTTTATTAATTACTTAATCGCATAAAGACTAGCTGACCACGACAAACGTACGAATACAATAATAGACAGCAGTAACACGAGATCAACAAATTGAAAATTCACGTCCTACAAAACATGAGTGGTATGTACAAAACTGCAAAAGTCATGGGATTTGAGCAACGAAAACAATTTGCCCGTTACCAGCATTCGAAGAAGTTTTACTCATTTTTGGCATGATTTGGGTCAACCAGATGGGTAGTTTCTGACTCTTCTCCTTCATCGTTGTAATCCTCGTCTTCATCATCTGGGTAGAACTCTTCTCTATCAACACTGAAGTCTGCTGAGCAGATACTGCAATAAGCACTTATCAGTGTGAAAGTACTGCTTCAAGAAAATACGGTGATCTTTTTTTACAGCACTCTCTACTAACTTCGGTTACTTCGATGGAACGAATTAAACCTTCAAGATGACCACTTCAGCAGCAGAATAGAGTGCAATCGAGAAAGAAAAATAAAAAAACGTCAAAAATTACCTATAACAAATAATACTGAGAAATGCGATCGGCATTCCAAAAAGAACCGACGATAATAACGGTTGTGTGGCAAACATTTGTGTAATGTTAAGGTAGATTTCAAAAATCATTCGTCGTATCCGAACTGGCAAGGAACGGCCTGTAATGGGTGTAATTGGTGTAAAAGAAACGCCCATTTACTAGGCAAGGAGCTCACCTCCCAGCGCAGTGACTGTTCCTTTCTCAATTCCGTCAGCAAGATTGCTAAGCCATGTAATGATTGATGCACGGGTGACCTTCTCCGGGTCATCTTCGTTCAGAAAATATTCGTATGTTGTGTAATTCAATACAATCATGCCTAAACACTAGTTCGTAGGCACAACACTTCAATAGAACTCATATTCTTACAAAAAAAATAAAAAAGGCTAAAACGGACCAGGAGCCTCCATATGGCTCATCACTATACTGGTAACAATTTCCGGACCGTCAAGCCATGCAAACTGATACCGTGACGATAAATCGTGAGATTTGCGTAAGTCTTCTGCTGCACCACGTGCCTAACAAATATCTAGTTGAGTTCAAAACGGTTCATTGAGTGCTACTCGTAAAAAGTGACATATCAAACGCTGGAGGTAGAGGTCAACACAAAGCAACTAATTTTGAGTCGTAAGAAATCAAAGGGGCAGTGGTAGCGCGGAAGGGAGGGGCATTTTATACTTTCGCTACTTTACTAGTCTCGGTTTACAAGCCTCTGGTGAGACCTAACTTTTCTGAAGCTGAAGCAAACTCATCGAGCCACCATAGTAAAACCTGGCAACACTTTGTAAGCTCATGAAATCACTAGTATTATCGAGAATTTACAAGATTTTGCAGGTAGTCTTCACAAGAGTTGACAAGTGGTTTCTACGGGGAGACGGTAAAGAGGATCGTAATTTGCCGCACCGCCACGCGCGGCGATGGGCGCGTTTCATAACTCGTTTTAACCTGTCGAATGAAGCACCGGACTTCATGTAGACCCCGTCGTAGACACTCATTACTGTTTTCGGTCCTTAATTGCATGTTGTCGCCATCTACTGCCTGAAACCATCGTCCTTTGCGGGCGGGACGTCGCACGCGACGCCCAGCAGCGCGGCAAATTACGATCCTCTTGTCATATACCCGGTTTCTACGAATTTTGGCTAGTATCATTTCGTGGCTTCATAATCTGCACTTGATGGCTCAACACGTCGACGGGAAACAGGCGAAAGCAAAGGTCCCCCTTATTAGCCGAACTGCGCCATTATTCAAGTCCAAAGGGAAATCTGTCGAAGAAAACTGAATGCAAGTCGAGAACGCGAAACCGCGGGTCTTCGAATACGATTGGAACCAATGCACAAACTGCTGCATGTTCTAAGGAATCGTTAATCACTAAAGGGAAGTCAGACTTCACCAAACAGAGTAGTCCCAAAAGACTCACCTTTTCGTAAAAAACTCCAATAGGCGATGATTGATTGTATCTACTTCAAGCTAAATGAGTATATCAGTCGGTTCCTCGTTGTAGGATATAAAATACGAACCTCAGTACATATTACAAGTACGAGCAGCTTCCTAGTGGTGGCCAGATCTCCTAGATTTGTGGCCGATGCACGGGGTATCAATGGCCATCGTTCTGCCATATCATTTCCTTCCCTTCTGTAAAGTAACATCGCATGAATACCGGTCAAGCCAGACGATAGAAGATAAATAAGTACAATGCTGCTTCACACTTTAACGTCAGCCTTTCTCAGCGTAAGAGGCGTTTTGAGCGATTAGAACACTATAAGATACTCATCTAGCGTTTTGAGCGACTGCACGTGAAAGGTTCAAAACAACCCGCGAAACGCTGTCGTACGCTCGAAACGCTAGCGCAAAGTATGAATGCAGCCTGACGTTAAAGGTAAAAATGTTATTTGCTCGTTTACTTCCACCTTTATCGGAGCCAGTGACAACGAAGTGTCAGAGTTGTGATAGGGTAAGTAGTTTCAGTATGATTTAAAAAGAACGTTGACTAAAGTTCTACCTTGGTCTTTAATAAGACCCCTTCATCACCGTAAGCTACATGAGCAAAATCTCACCGGCAGAGCCATGGTATGGAAAGAAAGCATCATCTTTGAACACGGCTACCCTTGCGTTGGACTCTCGAAGCGTTGCCGGAACCGAAGAGGGACTGGCAGCGAAAAATCTTGTCTGAATTGAGATAATTATCGAAACGCACATTCTGGATATTTCCCGATTTTAATTGTGTGCCACGTCAATCTGGCAAGAGCAAAGGAATGTGAAAGAGAGAACCATAAAAAAGATGAATTCCTCAAATGAGCCGCAATTCCTCAAATGAGAGGCTAGAATGAAAGAAAAATCAAATAACTATTTAAAAGCTTAAATGTATGGCGCAGTTTGGCTTGGAGGGGAATTTTGCTGGTTCCCATCGATTAATACCGATGTTTCCTATGGAGACGTGGAAGTTTCTGTCAAGCTACGTAGAAACGTAAGCTCTGTTTACAACCGACAAGAGTCTTCAGGTCTCCGAGGTAAGAGGTGTACTTTAAGAGGAACTAACAAAGAGGCTAGCGAAAGTGCGAAATGCCCCCCTCCAGCCGGACAGCATTCAAATTCTAATAAACATGAAGAACTCATTATTGTGAGAGTTTACAACTGTTGGGATTTAGGGCCACAATAATACGGAGTGAGACGCCACACGCTAAGCGCTTTTAAATCAAAAACGAGTCCTCAGTATACTTTTGCAAGACTCCATGGAATCTGAGTCATCTATGAACTAGCCGCCAAATTGGCTACCTTCTGGAACCAAAGCGTAACATAGGCTGAGAAGAAAGCACTAGAGCTAGAGCGCGCTCTAAATCAGCGAGTCGGATCGCTAGAATCCAGGTACGCCAACGAATCGGGAATAGTGAACGCGCTCTAAAAAGTGAACGGTGGCATGTGAGAGTCCCAGAGAAAAGGTGAAAGAACTTTGAACATGGCAGAATTTTTCAGCGGTCGCACAATACAGAACAGAGCCGAAGCTGGACGTGAAGAATCGATGGATGAATCACAGAAAGATGACTGGTACAGTGTCCTTCTGCTGCGGCGATGCGGACGAGTCAGGCGGGATGAATCTGGCAGGCGTGCTGAGACCCAGCCCGATCTCCACTAGTTGCTGGAGAGAGTAGGTAACAATAACTGTATGAAGGCGCTGCGCCAAACGCAGCCACGCTGACATGCGCCATCAGCTGCAGCGACAGAGATAAATCAATGGGGACAGAAATGAAGATCTGACATGCAGTCTGCATTCCACAAAACATAAAATTCAATAGAACAAGCTGTAATACTCGACAGTTCTACCCTGAAAAATTTTGGCTCACTCCTAAGAGAGAAGGAAAGAATACCTTGGAAAACAGTGAATCAGCAATCTTTTCGAAACTCGGCTGTGAATGCTCTATCTTTTCCTCCCCTTCCGAATGACGAGAGAATGTGGTCGTTCCGCAGAGTCTTCGTCTTTATCTGGAATCGGCAGAATACTTACGAATCATAAGATAAACAGTGTATACGGTATTGCAAGAGCGACAGGGGCGCAGTTCGGCGACGGGGGGAGGCATTTGGCAATTTGCTGCATCGTTAGTCAAACAATCAAGAAGCCTCACTCCGTCAAAACTTATCAACTGTTGTAGAGCCTCATGCGAAATAGCCTTATGGCTACCTAGAATGGCTCAACACAGTGCGTTGATGGGAAATAACAAAAGTTCTAAAGAAGCCCCCTCCCGGTCGCCGAACAGTGCAGGAAAAGGAACAAAAGCAACACTAACATCATTGATTCTCGCAGCACTGATTTTCTCTATAACTGGCGCTGAACTTTTGACGACAAAGTTAAACAGAGCCTCTTTGCTACGTTCTCCATAATATTCTATCCTGCGCCCGCTGTGGCGGAAAGCTTGTAAAACACTCGCTTAGTATATTGGTAACAACTCGCTTAGTAATCGGTAAATAGTGACTGAATTACCAAAGATAACTTACAACAAAATCGTTGGATATCCTGATATGGAAAGACTATTGCATGCACTCGTGAACCTTGTGCAATCCATCTTGGCCACTCTCACAGGTAAATTCTTGTCGTTGACAGCATGCCCAAGATGTTCCCAGACTGGGAGAAGTCGCTTGCAATGAGCACACCACGGAGCATAGAACTGAACATGAATTTGCAGTCGATGAACGGTCCATCGCATCGATCAAGTGTGTTGAGAACTTTGGCACAGTTCGGCTTCGTAGGGGCACTCAATGGTATCCTGCACACCTTGTACTTCCACATTTGAGAACCTGTCAAATCTTGTAGCTAAGTGGCCCACTTATACGATTTCGCCGCTTTACGAGAGTTTACAGGTTCCACTTTTAGTCAACATTGGTTAGAAAAGAGACTAATAAAAATGCAAAATGCCACCCTAAACCCCTCCCCCTCCCCCCCCCCCTTAGCCGAAAGGCGCCAAACCTTGAATGATAGAGGATTAATCTTTATCCACCAGAACTACCACGTAAAAAAAGACAAGAACACGGTGCAGGCGTTTACTAGTTCTTCACCCTTTTTTTACACACGACGGAAAGCGGCAAGGAAAAATGCTGTGGGTTTTTTTGTCTGCTGTGAGTCACAGTCGAAAAATGCTACTCGGAGGATGAATAACACCCATATGCAGTGATCTAACCCATCTGATTCAGCTGTCTGTGAAATGGTTCGAGGTTTTGGAAGAAAACCCGGCGCTATTTGGGTCAGAAGGGCATTTTGTAGTTACCTGCTAAATTTGTTCGCTTCTGCTAACTTACGAGTCTCGGCTTGGTAAAACCTGTAAACTCATGTCAAATACAAACGAAGCTGATATTACAGCATAGCTTAACTATAGTTTACAGATCTCGACAGGAGGATCCGAATGATCGATGCAGACCAGGAAAATGCCCTCAACAAGCCGAGCTGCCGCAGCCGCAAAATTCAATAAAAGATCGATAAAACACATGGATAACTGCACCTGTATCACTTAATTTGAATTGAGAAAAAATAGGTGAAAGGCCGAGAAGATTTGACATACCTTTACAATCCAAAATCCTTCATTACTAACATCCAAGAACTTCTCATTAAGGTCGATTACAACTGTTAAAGAACTAGCTGCTAACAAACAGCATGGAAGAACAGCTAGTGAGAATATCGTATACCACTGCATCAGTTCTGCAAGTAATATTATACTATCTAGAGTAGCATCTACATCTAGAGTCCAAATCGCGGAGTTGGGGCGGGAGTGGCTGCGTACTTCAGTCGACCGCGGCGGCATTTCGGTGACAATTGTGTCAAAATTGTTCACGTCTTCTTCCAGCATAAGGCAGGATGACAGTTGTTTCAAATGAAGATATTCTATGAAAAATCCATCCTGTACCACATTCGAATGAAGTACGCAGCAACACCCTGCCCATCCCAGAGATATAGAGTATACCACCACTGAAGATGAAACAACATATTTTATAGGAACAGTTGTATTTTCTAGAGGAATATTTCAACAGATGTCTTTTTACG